TAATGTTTCAATAATATTTCTGATTTTTATACTTACAGAAACTGTTTAAGATGAGTTTGGCCAGAGTTCGCTTCCCAGGGTTTTTCTCAAACTTGGACTTGTCCAAGACTATTCCATCTCTATCATAATGCATTTTGATGAAAAGATCCTTCTGCTCTTCTGTGACAACATCATTTGGAAAACCTGAGGCATGGAGTTTCATGGCCATATTTTGCCTTATATATGAAGAAAAAATACCATCTTCCTTTGTCTGTGGGTTGAATTTTTTTACACCTGGATATTGGTAACATTCATGAATAGCTTTGATTACATATCCTTTCTCCACAGCAACCTTAACCTCAGGCACAGGCCATGTCCCCAGAATCATTCTCTCCTCATCAGTATGATTACATCCATCCTGATTTGACGTTTCTGCACAAGTTTTACAAAGAGGAAATAGAAGCTTATTACAACATTTGTATGGCAATACAGGTATGAAGAGATCAGTAGGAGGTAAAATAGTAGCTTTTATAACACCATTCATATCTTTCAATTTTGGCATTTCTGGATCCCCTTCAACATAGGGGGTTGCATGTGAATAACAATATTCTTTATGCATCATTTGCGCTGGATACTCGCTGATTACATCGAACAGACAAATTTTCTCTCCTTTTTTCAGGTCAGCCACATATTCAGTATACAATGCAGATGTCCGCCCCCCATACAAGGCATCACGAAGGTTTAGAGGTGCAACTCTTTTGAAAGGATGATTCTTAAAAAACTCAATAACATCAGTATTTTCAAGTAAGTCTTTCTTAAAATCACATTCCCATTTCTCTATGACTACATAACCTGCATCTCTATACATTTTTGTGATTTTCTTAGTGTTCTCATAAGGGTCAACATTATTTTTACCTCTTATTCTAGTTCTCGATTCCTCATCCGGAATGCATTTTCTACAAAGGTGCCAATAACAACCAGCAAATTGATAAATACGTTTCTCAATCGAACCGTCTTCTTTTGTAATTTCAACATAACCATCAACTTTGTTGTTCAAAATAACAACTTCACGTGAGTTCTCTGCATGAGTTATTTTTTTACCTAAAACATGTTCTTCGTATGACAACCATTTTAAAGCTTCAAATGATGCTTTATCTCTCCCTCTGTATCCACCTCTAGGCACAATACCAATCTCACTGTTTCCAAGATGATTCCTTCGGAAATTTGCCATACAAGCTGCAGAAAGAGTGATACAATTGAACAAAGGATCAAAACCTGCACTTTCCATGAACAATTCTTTAAATGTTTGCATTGCTTCTCTTAAAATCTGAACATCTGATCTACAATAAGCAATTATTTCATCTTTAAAATTGAAAAGGTAATCAGAAGCTACTTGCTCATCATACCATTTATTAAATTCAACCAAATCTTTGTCACTTAATGTCGAGCAACAGTAAAGATCTTTTGGAGGCATCGGGCCTGAGTATTCATACCAATCTTCATTATTAGCCATATGACAAAAATGTCCTTTCTTTAATTCTTTCAAACCAAATGCTTTAGGGAGAGATGAGAGCCTTTGTGGTAGAAATGAGAGGGAACATTTAAAATGCATCCCCTTTGTTTTCAAACTTAAAATCTTAGCTCCAGCTAATTTGACCTCAGGAGTGATGTTCTTGGCGAGCAACTCCTGTGTAAGGAAAAAGCCATCATATGATTTAAAATTATGGGCAAACAAGGTGATGTGAGTTTTTCTCTCACTATGAAGCTGAGTCAAGTAATCTAAAAAATCTTTTACTACATTTGAATCTTTATAAAAACCTTGAAAAATATGCTCTCTTTTACCACAAGTGCTGCAATCATTTTCTATATTATTATCTTTCTCACAATCGTCACATACTTGTTGACAAATTAATAAATTAGGTTTATGCTCTTTCCAGTTATCTCTACCATCATATGAATCATCTTGCCTGGCCTCAATGTCGAAGTAGATCTTGAGGTAACGAGTGTCCTTGGCTTTTACTTTTTCGTTCCATTCGACCATATGACACTCATGACTATTATGTAAGTACCTTTTACAATATTTACATATTTTCCAATTACATCTATGCTTTGCCATTTTTGTTTTGCCATCCAAAACATAGAATTTTCGACAAGTAGTACAATACTTTTTTATGTCACAAGTACTTTTACCAGAACCCCTTATTTTGAGATGTTCTTGAAAACAAGCATCACCTGCGAAATATCTTTTGCAAGCTCCACAAACTTTTAATGGCGTTTCAGTATGTAGTGTCCCACCATCACATCTCTTGCAAGACAAATCACATCTGTGATTATATTTCTGACCTTTACCTCCCTTCAGACAACTTAAACAAAAATAAGTAGCATTCAATACAGCTTTTATCCTGACAACTCCATAAAAATGGTTTCTATCTTGTAAGATGAATAATACATTCCTTTCATCACCATTATCATTGAATTGAGAACCACAAAATATAAATTCTTTACATTCTTTATCAAGAAAAACAACCAATCTTTCTCTTAAAATAAGTTGAAACTTTACTATTTCATCATATCCACATTCTTGATTTGGACTAACATTAGCACTTTTACATAGTTTTAATGCTAAATTGTAAACATCTGAACTATTAGGTTTTCTTAAGTGATATACTGCGGACCTGTTTTTAGCAGAATTATACAATTGTAAAAATGCTATACATCTTGCTAAACACATGTTGTCATTTTCATTTTTAGGGTCGTAAATACTCCCTGTCTTACAATATCTTTCAATCCAACTCTCTTTTGTTTCGTGATGACGGGTGTCACGACCACTGCCTCTGACTGATGGTACATGAATGAAATTTAGGTGAAGAACACCAGCACAAAAGCTTTGATTACTATTTAAGGTTTTACATAATTTATCTAACACAACTCTACCATTCAACTGGCCAACAGGTCTGAGATGAAACCAAATAGCATTCGTCTCGTCATCACCTCGCACTTCAAAAATACATCTATCTTTTTCTACTGCATTCACTAATTCACACTGTCTTTTTATCAAATCATCAAATAGAGTCTCCATGTACAAATCGTTATCGAGTAACTTCTTTTGCAGGTCCTTTATGTGGAACGTTTCTTGACGGAAAGTCGTCTTGAACTGACCGAGATACCTCTCTTTGGACTCCAGAAGCTCGATCACAGGGTCACTATCACCTTGCTCTACCTCAGGAGGATCTTGAGGTGCAGGACGTTTCCTCCCGGATCGCGTCGTCGGCGTGGTGCTCGTGGGCTCTCCTCGTGACGTGGACGGCGGCGGCGCGGTGCTCGAGGGCTCTCCTCGTGACGTGGACGGCGGCGTCGGCGGCGCGGTGCTCACCACGCTGGCAGGTGCCTCCGCACGGACTCCGGTCGGCGGCGCAGCAGCGCGAGGGGTCCTTCCACCCCCGACTTGATGGCTCGGCGCACCCCACGGCTCATTCAATGCTTCACCGATGGATGCATCACCCCAACCGGCGAGCGAAGCGACAACCTTTTGCCTCAGCCGACACTGGCGTTTGTGAGCGTCAGGATCGAGCTCGTTACGAAAGATCAGTTGAGCCACAAATGCACCATAAGTACTGTCCAAAATTTCGAGTATAGTCTCGTCAGGGGGGATCGTCTCCTCCAAAAGACGCACGACATGAACGTACAATTCGGCCTTC